CCATTTTGTTCTGGCGAGTAGGCATTCGTTCTTTGATGAACTATTCCATGGGTCTTCAAATAGTTCTCAAATTCTCTACTACAAAACTCACCGCCATTGTCTGTGCGAAGTACTCTTATTTTTCTGTTTTGCTGATTTTCTGCAAATGCTTTGAACTCTTGAAAATACTTGAACACTTCATTCTTATTTTTCATGAAATATATGAATGTCATACGGCTGTAATCATCTATGAACAACACAAAATATCTGGCACCTCCTATGGATTTCGTTTCCATTGCACCACAGACATCTGCATGTACTATCTGTAGAGGTTCTGCACTTGTGTTACTTGAATNTTAACTTAATTTAGGAAAAGTACATAAATCAGATGCGATTATTTTCACAGTAACCCAAACATTCTGCTAGTAACGTACTCCACCCCTCTGCAAATACGTCACATTTTGGGTTTTGGTCCAGGAAACGATTGAGAGCACTTAATGTACGTGGTATAAGTGATTTCGATCTTGAAACCGTACGACACGGAGGAACAGCAAACAATGCATGCCTTCGACCACGATAATAGTTGTTGGGTGCGAACAGCCTCAGTAATTGATTGAGTAAGCCAGACATGTTAAGTCTGCCGTGTAGCAGCTTGAGGATGAAAACAATTTGTTGCATAGACCTCCTAACTTCCAACGAGTTGTACCCAAGACACCCAAGAATAAACGAGGTGGGATATAAATATGGATAGTATCCATAGACACGTTTATAAAGAAATCTTAGAAAAGCCTTTTGCACCTTCTCCAACAATAAAATATAGGTGACTTCATAGGGGTTCCAAACACACGCGCTCGATTCCAGTTTACTGCGAACAAGTGAGTTGTATAAAAGATTTATAACACACTGGCTCCGGAAATCGCGAGCATTTCTGAGGACAAACCCTAGTCTTCTGAAGGATTCTCTTGCCGTTATCGTCATGTGATCATGAAAGGTGAGCTTCCGATCGAAGGTGACTCCCAGATCTTTGACAACTGATGATCTTGTTATTTTATAAGATTTGTTACTAAATCTTAACACAAATATATTTTTTTAATTAAATCTACTAATGACAAGACAACATGCATTTTTATCCTATTTCATTCATAAAGTATTTTGTTTGTCAAAATAAAATAAAAATTACAATCACAAAATACATTCACAAAACTAGATAGAAATTCTAAGTAGGCAGTTGTAATGAAAATAGGGTCTACAGGTGGGCAGCCCTATCGCATGTTGTCATACCGTGACGTTCCGCGCGGCTGTTGACATTTATTTCAAAAATATGGTCGAGTTGGAATACTGTATAGATAGTATTACCGTGGCTTAACACCTGTATTTGTAGGTATTTAAGTAAGGCTCAGTTGCACCATCTAAATTTGACCGTAATTATTACGATAACCAGTCATTTTTGTATGGAGTTTGACAGATTTTTAACGTTTGTTAAAGTAAGATGGTGCAACCCAGCCTAAGACTGCAAATAAGACAAAAATACGGAAATTTTGTTTGTATGGTTGGAGTAGTGGTAGTAGATGGCTTAGTAGTAAAATCACCTGCTTCAAACATACACTTCCCGGTTTCAATTTTAAGTGGGGGCAAACATTTTGTGCTTCTATTTTTTTTGGTAAGTAGTAAGCTACCACCATCTTAGTATATCAGTCGTTCATCTTAGTATATGTTTTAGCATAGGTAGGTACATCTTAGATTTTTGGGTAGTTGGGCTTATTCAAAATAAGTAAGTTCATAAGTCATATACCTACATATAAATTGTCAGTTTCCCGCTTCTAGCCTTAAGAACATGCGTAAGAGCATAGAAAGTGACAGTCATAGAGAATTACTCAGGAGCCAAGGCCGAATATGACGCGGGCGGATACGGCTTAACTTATTAGTATTAATGTAGGTACTTAACAGTAGCTAAGCAAATGCCAAATGATTTCTACGTTGGTCATATCGAATATTTTAATTTTTAATTGCATATGGCGAGTTACGCACAATCACTGCGATGTATGTACCTACCTAACGATATAAATATTCAAAACGGTCAGATGCTAAACCTTTTCTTAGATAGAGTTGTTCTTAAAAATCTCAGAACGTGATGCTGCTAAAAAAATCTAGGAGTTCTGCTTTCGATGTCACAGAATCTGGTCTACCATGCTTTTGAGGGTAAGTGAAGCATCAATTTCTTTATTGAAAATTTTGTTTATAAAAGTAATTTACAGTGGCGGATCATTTATTGTGCCATGTTAGACGTCTATGGTGGTCAGAACCAAGGTTGAGACCTTATTTTATTAAATAATCAACGAAATAATATCGATGTGGTATTCCACATCGACGTTGTATGATCTGATACAACCCATACGATAGAAGAAAGAAGAAGTACACTGACCTGGAGGCAGCTTCGACTTGAGCATGTCCATAGCGACGACGTTGATGACCAGCACCCATATCGGGCACTCCAGGAGCTCTCCCTCCGACTTGACGAAGGCCACCGCGCTCAAGCACTGCGTCTCAAGTCTCCGACGATCAGGGTACGCACGGCGAAGCTCCCGGTTCACGTTCGACTGGAATTTCTTCATGTCGAATAACTGTGGAAGAAAATAATATGGTTAGTTAAGAAAAGTTTCGTTTTTAAAAGTGTATGTAATGGTTCGACGGGCCTAAATATTACTTGTATCATGAACTTAGGGTCGGCTTCATAGATAAATACTAGATATGCGGGATAAAACGTGTTACATTATTTACAAAATATATTTACATTGTGAGACTCATGGACCTATAAAAAAAGTCGGACGGATTCTCATCAACAAAATACTGTGACATTAGGATACACCAGCTTTCCTGTACGTACAGGCCGGCACGCACACATTCACACCCTGACGCACCACTTCGAGTGCAAACTTCACACACAGTTGACACATTTAGGCGGCGAAAAAACAACACGAATACGACATGTCTTGTGTGATGAAATTGTGTAAAAAGCGTGCTGTTCTTACAAACAAAAATTAAGGAATCACATTTCACAGGTAAAATAATAATCCAATCACTTATTTCCCGAGATTAAAATATTGAAATTAATTGAAATCAAACGTCATTCACTCGGAAAAATAATACGTCAAAGACCAGTGTTCTCAGTTATTTACGTGGGAAAATTACCCGAAATATGTGAAATTAATAATAATTTTAGGACTTTAGTTATTTATTACGCATACTATAGAAATAAAATAATTTATCATAATAATTGTGTTTTAATGGGATATAANAGATCCTGCCAAAGTATATATAGACAAACCAAGATGGTGTAAATTGGACCTTGGTCCCCGAGCACAACACCCGCTCGGAAGGAAGCACTAACATCTAGCTTCCTTATTGTGGATGAACATCATATCCCACAAATGCATTGGTTTCCTTTTTCTTTAACAACGGACACTGATTTCGATAATGCCCCTCTTGTTTGCATTTGTAACAAGTGATTTTCTTTGTTGATGAATTATTAACTGTCACTGTCTTTTTGTTGACATATGACGGATCACCATATTTTTTCGGCTTAGTGTTGCCAGAGAAAATTTTGTTTTTCGCTGCAAATGCTGTTCCACTAGTACTGCCTTCAAAGTCACTTGCAACTTCCATGTCGAGCAATTTTGTTTTGATGACATCTGCAGTTATCGAAATCCCCGAATGTTCAATTGCCATGATCATTGGAGTATAACGTTCAGACAATCCTGCCATTAATAATGACCCAACCCATTCATCAGTAATTGTAAAACCCGTGCCATTTAACCGTTGAGCCGTTTCGACTATTTGCGTTAAGTAGGTAGCCATTGAGTCGCAATTTTCGAGTCGTATAGATATCAAATGTCGAAGTAGGGTTAGTTTCCTTGAGAAACCAGAGTCATCGAACATGGTCTTCAGTGTATTCCATAATTCTGCCGAGCTCTTAGTGTTCTTTATGTGCACGTACAATGCTGGGTCAATCGTCAATATTAGCTTTGCCTTCGTTTTTGCGTCATCTATCGGTTTTAGTTCAAAGTCATCCGTTGGCTTTATATACATAACCATGCCTTCTAAAACCAGTAGGTTTTCTGCCGCAAAACACCACTCGTCGTAATTCTCCCTGCCTTTCAATTTTGGCACATTAGCAATATAGTTCGTAGCCATTCTGTTTCCGCAAAAATAACGTAACACAATTTATCTATTTTGTACTAAAATAAATCTGATAAAATTGTTTAGGCCCATAACCTATTGAAACAAACGTAGATTTTTGCAACGACTGTGTTTTATTTCTTTCACATGCTACCATAAACAATATATATTTTGTTACAAAGAAGTTCTAATATCAATAAGTTTTGGGAGAGTGAGATTCTCTCAACTTTGGAGGTAATCGGTGCGATTCCCAAATGAGTCAATATGGTGTGACATCACTTTGTGTATTTGTTCTTTATTTTATGAAATCACAAGCTTTTGCCCGCGGCTTCACCCGCGTGACATTTCGTTTGTTACAGATCGTCATAAATTATAGCCTATGTTATTCTGGGTTATAAACAATAATACTGTAAAGTTTGAACAAAATCCGTTCAGTAGTTTTTGCGTGAAAGAGTAACAAACATCCAGACATCCAAACTTTCGCATTTATAATATTATAGTAGGATAGTAGGATGACCGTCCGAAAAATAAGTGTCAAAAGCCTAAAGTATGGCGGCTCTAATTAGATGTATACTTATTGGTTTGCCATGCATCAGAAAGCCCGTGAAGATGACATGTCAGATGCATATGGCAGTTCATTAAGTCTGGCCAGAGTTGAGACCTTAGTTGTTACAACGTTGTCCAAAAGATAAGGAGACATGTAAAGTGCCCCATATGGGCTACCTTTTTTTATTTTACTACATTTTGACGTTCATAAGTGCCACCAGTGGTCTAAATTGAATAAAATATTTTTGATTTTGATTTTGATTTTTGATTTTGTTGGTAGAAGAAGAAGAAGGACTCACCTGGAGGCAGCTTCGACTTGAGCATGTCCATAGCGACGACGTTGATGACCAGCACCCATATCGGGCACTCCAGGAGCTCTCCCTCCGACTTGACGAAGGCCACCGCGCTCAAGCACTGCGTCTCAAGTCTCCGACGATCAGGGTACGCACGGCGAAGCTCCCGGTTCACGTTCGACTGGAATTTCTTCATGTCGAATAACTGTGGAAGAAAATAATATGGTTAGTTAAAGCAAAGTTGAGTATTTAAAAACGATATGAGGGCTAAAACGTGTTATTATTACATATTAGAATATAATATATATAATATTTTAGACGTGACGAGACGTGGAAAAATATTGCGTAAAAATTCAAGAGACAAGGGCGAGAGAAAAAACAAAAGAACATCGATATGCTTGTCGACAAAAATAATGCAGTTTTCTTTTCTTGGTGGCCAGTGTCACGCAGCCAAGGAGGCGGTGGAGCGGCCGCAACAGTGTGACGGGGACATCCCTGCGATTTAGTTTTTTTAAAGTTCCAAATTTGAACTGGCAGCAAAAAATTAATCAATCACTGCTAGTGGCCTAAAACGCAGAGCCGCTTAGCGTTTTCAATGTAATGAATATTGTTACGCATAATATCTTAGCGTGAGGGATATTAACAGTTGGTTTTGTCGCATTTTTTGCCTTATAGCCTTAAGCAGAAACTTATTTATAAACTAATTATCGGGTAAGTGTTTACGTTACCCTGAAAATCACTTTGAACTCTACTTATCACAAATCTACTTTTTTAGAGACCGTTTTAAAATTAAGTAGCTCAGTGTAAGTACACTATTATTACGCTGATCATACTCGTAGATATATTCAATGCATGTATTACAAGTTACTTATAATAAATCATTAGCAATAATCGGATTCTGTTAAAAAGGCATTAAAGCTGCATTAGTAAATCGAAATAAAAAATCACGCAACAAAAAATCATCTACTTATCTTTTGTTAAGCGTGTATTACAAAAAGTGACGGCTGCAGTTTTTATCTGTATTAAGCAATTTGATCATACACGCGATGGTGATCTAAACAAACAATCTAATAAATGAATGCACTCGGAGATGTTATCTAAATTATTATTACATCACAATAGAGCAGTCGATATTGGATAATGAAAAGACAATCGATCATCGAATCATGGTCCAGTCATCCGACGAGTGCATCCTAAAATTAAAACTCGATGAAGCGGAACTGCTCGGTGCTCGTCTTATAATGTAGATAATAATGCAGTAACTTCCATCCCTGTTGTTTGTTTTGGTATTATTCAATGGTGTTTAGACTAAGATTTAAGCTAAATTAAGACCTTACATAGAATAAACGGCCTTGAATTATCGACTGTAAAAATGCTCTCCTATTAGTAGGTACTAAATAAATTGCTGCAATGTATGTGTTGATTTTCAATACCTTTAGACCTTTTGAGGTTGGGGGCTTTCGACTTTGATTATTAATTATACAGAATCATTTTAGACAAATTCTGCTAGCGTTTTTTGTCGTCCTGAGAATAAAGATATTTGTCAATTTTTGATACCTCTCTAAACGTGAGCCTTTTACCTAACATTGAATTGTGTGTAATTTGGATACAAAAACCATGTAATTATTCTCAAAATTCTTTAAACTATCAGCTCTATTAGCAACAATGAGTTTTTATTTAACAATACACTTTTTGTGGAACCTATACTAAGCGTGAAGACTTCTTAGAATCTAGAACTATTGCATTAGGGTCATCATCATCAATATCATCTTCAATCGATAAAGGTTTACTTTTCAACATATTCCTATCATCTCTATGATTCTTAAGGAAGTTAGCATTGCTATTAGCTTTTGCAATTGACAATGCGTAGTCTGGTATTGAGATTTCAGTCGTTGATTTTTCACAATTTCGTTGTTCCAACCCTATCAATACTTGAATAAATTGTTATTTTGATTCATAAATTACTTGTTCCTCTGTATCTACCGGCCTTTATAAGACTAATTCTTTATCAGCCAGTCATCTCAACTCGGACTCTTAAATCGAAACTGTTCTAGTTTAATAAAGATCTTTCTTATTTAATGGGGACCAAAGCAAACAAAGCCGAAAGTGCCGCGTCAGATGCATCGACGAAATTGAATGAGGCTTATGAAGTTGTTACATAATCGGTGCACTTTCGACTAGTGCTGTTACATGCCTCAATAGCTTTTCTATCGATATAGATTACTTTAAAAATTAGATTTAACTGTATATATGGATTAGAAATGAACAATAATGAATTCTAAATTCCTAACAAACTCTTTTGCAGTTAATGTTGCAGATAAGTAGTACGAACATTTGGTAAGGCGATTTGATTGCATCAGATACACCTGTCAGTGTAGCCTATTTGCTTTCCAAAAGCAAATGATGGTAAAAAGCATAAGATACACGTTTTGTTCTGTAGGATATTCAAACTGTGATTAACTGTGGCATCTTGAAAAATGCCAATCCTTATATTAAGTACCTTAACATAACAAATTATTGTGATATTCTCTGAAGGTTTACTATAGGAACCTAATTGCTATTGTTATTTAAACTGAATGCCAAAAAAGAGCTCAATTTGTATGCCACCAAATTCAATTTTCCTCCAACACTAATCGGAGCGTTTGAAACATCACTTGCATCAAGCGGCCTGTCGGCCGGTGCGCAAGATTCGATGCTATCTAAAAACACAAAACCACCGCCTACGCGTCTCTTAGCTCATCTTTCGGCCTTCGGTGCGTATGTTGATGCGTTTTTGAGATTCTTAATTATTACCGGAATGTTCGTGGTACCTACGTTACGAAATGGACATACCTACAGCTCCGGTTAATTGAGCCACAACAAGTGATGAATTGTTTACGAAACACATCGATGTATACGAGTCATCTAAGTTGACATGTGATGATAACATTGTACCTATCTTATTAAAAGTCGCAAGGGAATTCGGTGTGGGAACACGGATTGCATTGAAAAAATCCCAGGTATCAATGTTGCTACATTGTATTGTTTGGAAGATCGAAATTACTAACTACTATGGAATTATCTAGCATCAAACTAATAGTCCCCAATTTCAATTTGTCTGATCCCTTATCTCAAAGATAGTGTTGTTTCTTGACTAATTAATAAAGATAGGAGATCTCGTATCTCTTAAATATCATTTGACATTGGAAAGATGTCAATTAAGTTCCAATTTATAGTATCAAACTAACTAGATAAACAACTGATATCTATTAGATCTGAGACTGAGAGATATGATTAATTATTCTCTTGATACAATACCTATTTATATTTTTTTTAGGTAGGTAGGTTTTTCTAGGTACAGTAAGCACGTCGTGTGGATAATTACAAATAATTTCTGGGATTCTTATTTACGTCTTTATTTTAATATATAATGATCTGTAGGAACTAGCACAATTTATGGATTGACACTAAATTGTATATTCAATCAGGTATAGAACAATGCTTTTCCTTTTCTACATATTCGCTTTCCTCGCTCCCAAGGAAACAGTATAAGCGCCAAACAAATAAATGAAGCAATGATCATTCTTTTCCTTGCCTAATGTTGCTATCTTCTCTATTGTTCTTGCAACTGGCTTACGTAAAACCCGAGTAGGTAATGGTCTATGAACCAGTGATGTATCTTAGCCGGTTCACTAGGAAGTGAATCTTCCATTGTTCGATAACACGTCCCTATTTCGGACGCGTTATCGTATTGTTCATTCGCGTGTATTAATTAAAATACGTGTAATGGACTGTGTTCAATTTCAGTTATGTAACTAATACGGTCAAGACGCAGCATTTACAGTTTAAAAGATTGCATCTTAATTTAACTACAATTAATTACAGTCCGCTATTATTTAACTCAATATTTACCTGTGATTTACCCCAATATTTGAAAATATCGAAATCCTCTAAAACTCCAAACCACAGTTCCAATGCCAAGTAATTTAAATCCAGAAAAAGAAACAAATGAATAAGCAATTTGATGTCATTACCAGTGTGTACTTTCCAGATTAAGCAATTCTGTAACAGCTATAAAGGAATTATGTGGCAATGTCATGGTCAGCCCGAGCACTGATGTGATGCGTTCTAAATGACCAGTGCAGCACAATGCAACTCACATTAGAGTAATGCACGGTCTTTTCGACTTTTTGTAACGATCGTTGTCTTAGAAAAGTCTTGCGTAAGAAGAAAAGGGAGTATTAGTATCAATGAGAGATGTAATTTGTACATTTGGGTCATTAGCATTTGAGGCATAAAGCACTTTGGTTAAAATATATCTTCAACTTGCTCGAGTATCTGTAGCATCATGACTTATGTGTAAAAGTATTTCAACACTCTTCTGACTACTTCTAATGTAGTGTATTTCAAAAGAAAATATCTGGATTAAAATTACATTAAGACATAGCATAAACACCTTTATAATTTATTACAGTTTTGCGAAAAAAATACGGAACTTAACAAGCTTCAAGTGGATCGCAAGATCTCATCATCATCATCATCATTTCAGCCATAGGACGTCCACTGCTGAACATAGGCCTCCCCCAATGCTTTCCATGTTGATCGATTGGCAGCGGTCTGCGTCCAGCGCTTCCCTGCTACCTTTACGATGTCGTCGGTCCACCTTGTAGGTGGACGTCCCACGCTGCCGTACGCCGACGTACCGGAAAACGCAAGATCTAGTTTTGGATTTTTTGTTTGTACTGTAATTATAGTTACTTTATAAAGAGGTTTGTCGTCAGATCACAAGTAACTAGCCTTCATATTATGAGCCAGTTCATTCACCTCTTGGACTTCATCAGTTCAGTTTGCAAATAACAAAAACATTTCCTATTCTTTATAAAGGGCAAAACAAGATTAATATACTCCAATCTGGTTTTGAAATACTCGTTACCTTAGATTTTGCGTAGTTCTAGTTATGTTTGCCACAAAATTATACATTGGAATTACTATATCTCAGAAGTAAAGTCATTATGTAGGTAGGAATTATACAGGAGAATTTCGACATAGCTTTGTATGCTCCCATCTCGACAGAAATGATTACTTGTAAACATCCATTTGGTTGGCTTGGTACCAACTAATGCATTTTGGACGTGGAATTAATAGCTTGAGCTTTGTAATTTAATAGTGATACAAACAACTAATCTGTGTGTGCATTTATGTATGAGTTGCAGCAAACGAACTAAAGCTATCAAGAATTATGTACGCATTAGTATGAGTAAGTTTGACAAACATGAAAATAAAGAAGTTCTTGGCATAAGACTGGCTACTTTGCAAAAGAGTTGCAGTTAACTATAAAGTACCTACAAACTGTGAGTCTTTTTGTTACACAAGACTATAAAAATAACGCCACTTGCTGAAAAAAAAACTAGGTGCCTTAATTTGAATTACGAATGATAGCAACATACCTTAAATATTTTTTCCTGCTCCAGCGCGTAGCCAGGCAGTTTCAGTATGTCCTGTCCTATAGCTGTCTCTTCGTTGCTGGTGGCTGCTGTACTCTTCACAAACACACTACTCTTGGAGTAGCGCCTGACGAGTATGTTACCGGCGTCGTCCATCTTTATTTTGACACCCTGTTGAAGAAAAATATATGACGGCATAAGCACTAGGAATTTTAAAATGGTAGAGGAACCAATTTCTTTTCTTTGAAAGAGAGTCATCAAAGCTCTTTGACATAATAGTAATCGTTTGATTGTCATTATTTATTTATCATCAAAGCTGCTTATTGAGTTTGAGTAACATCATTCGTATCAAAAAATGTAGGGACATTGACTCTAACAGAACATAATTAAAATCTGTTAGTTTAACCCACAAAAACGCACATTAGCAGGTACCGAGTGCAGTGTTGTTTACAATAAATTGGGGGACAATCACCTTATTTTTTGCAAATGCCGTTATGTTGATGACATCACAGTTATGTCCTTATATTGCTAACAAAATTGATTCAAGGTCATCGACACACGGCTGTACGGTTTTTGTTTGTATAACACCATTTGTCTTATGATGATTTACGACATGACAGGAGTGCTCAACAATGGAGTAGGTTCCAATAATCGTCTGACCTATGACATCAGCGACCTTAGCCACATTGGTGCATGTCATACTACAGGCATTGTTACGACTAATTTAGATGGGAAACTATTTTTTACAGAATTACCAAAACTCAAGGAAGATAACATTGAGATATAAATTGAGGTAGATGATTTTTTTCACCGGTGTGAAATCGAATCTGTAAGCTATTTTCGACTTTGGATGCGGCAAGATGTAAATCCGTGAATATAATTTAAATGATTGTTATAAATGGCTTTAAATCTTATAACACAATGTTATTAGCATGTTCATCGTTAAACGTTCTGTCAATATGATTTGATGGATAACATTTTAATAAAATAACAATCTATCAAGATATCATTAAACGGGAAATGTGTGCTTATGACTTTATAATAAGTAGCTTTTTAAAGTCTGTTGTAATGTTGTTTATAATGCACTAGCTGTGTCCGCGACTTCGTACGCGTGAAAACCCGTTTCCGCAACATCTTTCATTTTTGCTCTGCACCTATTACTCGTAGCGTGATGGTATATAGCCTATAGCCTTCCTCAATAAATGGGCTATCTAACATTAAAAGAATTTTTCAAATCGGACATCACGCTAATAAACAAACAAACAATCAAACAAACAAACAAACTCTTCAGCTTTATAATATTAGTATAGATTTCTAGCCGCAGCTGAATTCTAGTATTATCCAATATGGCAGCGTAACCTTTGTCTATTTGGTACACGTCCTTGCTATTTGTAGAGAAACTCGAGACGCATCGCTTTAGCTAGACAAAATAAAAGTGTATCAACTTTATTCAAATCTTTGGGACAAGGTCGACTGGTGCTGCATCATAGCCACTTAAGCTTGTAGTGCTCAGCAAAGATTAAAGTTTTGATATTATTGTTTACCAAAACATTGTAATCATGAATTTATACATTTATAGTCACGAGAAAATTCTTTAAATAAAAACACTTAACGAAATAATTCGCGCTTAAAATCATTAAATCTTCATGAATGGTTATTCATGATCCAATTGACTTGCAGTTTTACCAGCGCGTCCGCAATTACCTGCAGTTAGAAGGAAGTGTAGCAACCAATTGACGAAACGTTAATTGTCGCGTCAGTTTCGAATACCGTCTGCTCATCCAGCCGATGATAATTTAATCGAATGGGCTTTTGATCCACAATCGATTTTGTATCGGACCGGTCGCATCGTTTACTTTGATCAAAGTGAAATACTTCAGTATTATTCAGTACTTTTTTTTTGGAAAATAAATTCAAAATGAAGTGTTTACTATAAAGCTATTTTAATGGACAATACTTTTAAAAACTATTTAAAATTACTTATTTTAAATATATTTTTGTTATAGCATTAGAGCGTGTAGTGCATTGTCCTAATCACGCTGATGTCAATAGATATTATTTTTAGTAAGTTCAATGTGAAAATCGTGAAGAGATAAAAGATAAAGGTAATTGGAAACAGGTAGCAGATAGGTAGAAATGGCGCAGTCAGAATTATAATATTCATAGATCGAATTAAAGTAGCTCTTACTATGTTTGAACCTTGCAACTCGATTACATCATTACGATTGACCATGAACAAAATATCTAAGTAAATCAGGCTATAACGTTCAGGTAAGACACGGGTTTTGATATATAGAACGTGCTCCGTATCGAATTGTGGGTGGATCTAAAATATAATTTAATATGGAATGGTTTGTGCATAGATTACAAAAATCTGACCTCACACAGTTGTTACCCATGATATTTGAATTTGACCAAGACTACTAAAATTTAGATACGGCTAATAAAGCTGATGTCTACTCTGATTACGCCTATGGCCTTACGTTGTAAGAAAACTATGTATTATTTTTTATTTTACTATGAGTACATAATATTTATGGTAATTACGCTCTACTAGATTCATTTTTGAGATTTTTTGATTTGTACATTACTTTTCTTACATTTTTTAACTGTTTCTTTTTTCAATAACTATTTACCATTTTCTCATTCTATGTATAAAAAAACCTTTTTATTAATGACCACAAACATAGTGGAAAAATTCTAGTATAGCCGCATTCATTTATCAGTTATTATCAAAATCAATATTTTACAAATATTTTTTGTTTACTTCATCGGCTTAAAAGCTATTCTGTGTAAACTTAATCAATACAATTCCCATATCAGCTGACCTTGTATTGGACAGCTTGTTACCGCATCTCATTTGTGTCAGAAGTATTTTCGGATCTATTGTTCACACCGTTTATTTTCAATGAACCGTACCGGGTTACATGTCTGATTTGATAACGAGATTTTGCACGCGGCAACACTTCCTTGAACAAATTATTCGATTTTACCTATTGTTTTTTTATCTATAACATACTCAGTATTTACGCCGTGCACATTTGCAAGTATGATTTCGTCTACAATCTGATTTGTAGTAGTATCATCATAAATAATTTTAATCTTCTCACCGATCTGGTTTTCGAGCAAGTGTTATTATTTTAACAGATTTTGATTTGATACATATGACTATTGCAGTAGTGGGTGTACTTTGATTAATTTACTAAAATACATGGTCATCATCTAAACTATTAAATGATGGGGTCATCATTTAAGATGGAATACTTGTAAAAAATTAGTTTCATTCGATTTAGGAGTTGTATTGTATAGTCCAAGTTTGATTGCGTCCGTCTAACTAGTCGTGACCTCATCAATGTTTTTAGCTTTGTGTCATCATGGGCATGGGAATCATAAAGCTCATTAAAATAACACGCTGGTGTTAATATTATGTTTTGCTTTACATGCAAATATACCTTTGACATGCGAGGAATCTCTATTACCCATTACGAATTAAGATATTATTATAAGAATAATTCTTACTAAATTATTAATAACTTACGGTCGTGCTGATTATACAGTATTTATAAATAATGGTTTGTGACTCACCTGTCCTATATGCCTTTTCACTTCATCTGTTTTCTGATCTCTGTGTGGATTGTTGAACCCGCAAAGGCCAATTCTGTAAAGACAAAACACAAAACATTAGTCAAATGCAAAACAGAAAGATTTGGATTCACATCGCGTGAACCATAATTTCTGATGTGATGATTTTTGCATTGCTTGGATCTCAGCCAAAAGAATTTATATGTATAAATGAGTGAAGTGCGAAAAAACCCTTTTTAGAAATAACCGTCCTATTGTTTGCACGCGTTGGAAATCACAGGAGTAATTTACATGTAGCCATTCACTGTCACGCTTCTTAACTATCAATGGCGATGTATTGCGCTGCAGCGCTTTATTGAAGTGTCTTTGGAATCTACTATTTAAACGTATCTTGTCCGATATTCGGTTCTCATGTAACAAATTGAACAATGACGACATCGGAATTTGTGGTGCATTAGTATTTTGTCGTCGTCCTGTATCGGAATATTGTTTTCTTAAAACCGTTCCTTGGCATTGGCTGAGAACTCTCATTGTCATTCCGATTTGGTCCGAAGGTTCGTCTGTGCCTACCGATTGGAAATTTCTATTTGATTCAAATACCGTTCAAAGGTAAACTTTTCTATTCAACGCGTGTAACAATTAAGTTTGACGGTGGATTGAATAATGTGATTTTAACGAAAGTTGTGTGTTGTCACGCACATGGAGAATACATATGACGATATCATTTGCGAGAGAAAGTCAAACTTTTGAATGTAGCCTCACAATGTAAGGAACATAAAATGAAGTAATTACTGTAGAAAAATAGAATCGTGTTAAATTAGTGAACGATGCAGTTCCAAGTAGAATTAATCTAGCAATTGTAGATCCTTCAACTGCAAAATAATTGGTATGATACCGAATACGTGTAGCAAATTCATGGTTCAAGTACCGATTACTATACAAGAGTGATAATTTAATAGAATCTGGGCAACAATGGAGGTATACGTGATCACGTAACGGTGTATTATGTCTAGGCGTATATTTAATTTGACCTTAATGCATAGCGTGTATTATAGAAAAGGAAAATTTAGGTCAAGTTGCATTGTTTATAGAAAAAAATCTTTATACACATAGAAACATACAAAAGTGTTTGTCACTCAATAAATGAAGTTACAGGTTTTTGCCTATACAGTAGGTAGGTACGTGTCTGTCATGATTTTCAAGGACGACCATTTTATATTTTGACCAGTAGAAAATGCATTACAGTTTCACAAGAAGGCAAAGTAAAAAATATCGATAAGACCTTTGATTCTGTATTTCTTTTATTTGCTAATTTTGTGTGGGGTACAATAAATATTATCTATCTATCTATTGTATTGATCTTGATATTTATTTGCCATGCCAAAACAAACATAAAAAGGAGTTATGTATCACAAAAACGTCTATCAATGAGTTGCCATGACTCTATGTGATTGAATAAGGCACAAAGGTCACGTGTCAAATGTTGTGGGTTCATGTGGGTTTGCTGTTACTTGAATATAACCAGCTATGCTTATATTCATAATACCTACCGACTATTTTGAAAAGTGACATTAAGAAAACTCACTGGGTATCGAACTCAGGACCTCTAAGTCTAAGACAGCTGTTCTTATCTCTAGATTATCATTTCTGAGCATAATATGAGGGCGCTCAAGCCTTTGAGTCCGATAAGCAGAGTTTTTTGAGCAGCGCCCCTTGTGAGAAATGTAGCTACTGCGAAGTTTACATTATGAGTAGAGTACTAGTTTTTCGAAGTATCGAACTCGAAGCCCCCTTGCTAATTACCCATAACTTGTTGGTTTCTCTCATTTATATTACTTACAAGGCCGAGTAGTATGTGTTCAGTTAAATATTACCTATAATTGATAAATTACTCCCCATGACTAAGCAATCACTCTAAAATATTTTAATTGTTACTAGCAAATGACAATAGCGACCTTTAGTTTATAAATGGTGTCCAACAAGGTACGGCCCAACTTTCGACAATCCATCGATCACGTTTTAATTACAAGTCGCAGATAACTTATTGTTAATTACTTGGTAATTTATCTACTAGTTTATGTTTGTCGCTTTGTTTTGTTGAAAGTAAAAACGATTGCTAACTTAGACTGCAAACGGTCGAATAATAATTTCCGATTTATAATAATAGCTGCATTAATAAAATTATAAGTAATTTATAACTTGAATATACTTGAATGTAGTGCAAAACTTATAAACAAGATTTAATAACTAACCCCTTTACTGATAAAAAGTTACACAGTTGCTGAACACTGTTTTAAAATTACATTTCCATACTAAACGTCACTTTAAAACACTGTTCAACGAGCGTGTAAGTTTTATTAGTAAGGGGGTAAAAGTTGATTCTTCCAAGGTTTTTTCATGTAGGCTTTAGGCTTTCATAACTCTGGATCCAACAATTTCTAGGGATTTCTACATTTTTAGCATCCCGAGTGTCGAAGGTATTAAATAATTATGTCCATTATTTGTATCCCAACAGGTAGGTAATTTTAATTTAGCGTTACCTCAATCACTCTCGAATATTCCATTTTAGTTATGTCTTGAGATTATTTTACACAGCACATCAGATTTTACATTTCTGCTGCAAAATATCATTTATCACAACTGCATAAGGTATCCCAGTGTAAAACATGATGTGGTTTCAGGTATATCAAATGGTCGTCGAACCAATAACGCGACGGTGAGCGGCGGCCTTGCGACGCGGGCGCAGTCGGCGCTACTATGTCATTTCGCGCACGTGGCGCCCTCTATCTTGATCTTTAATTCTTTAATTTAATTAATAGTTTGGATTTTGTTTGCGCGAATACTTTTCATTTTATGGCTTTGTTTAGGTATTAAAGTAAATGCAATTAATAAGACATAAGTAGGTACCAACTTTTTAGTATCATTAAAAAACTACACTCTACACATACTCTTAATGTTATCAATTTATTCAGGTATTTATTATTGCAATCGAAAAAAGTAGTGGTAGTTCACAAGTAGGGTTTACCTACTTAATTTTACATTAGGTTAGGTATAAACAAAACTGACATTCACTTACATGATTCAAGATACACGGACATACATATTATGGAACAACATTAAAGTAAATATTTATCTGCGTCATAAACATTATTTTGAACAAACTTTTTTATCTTACAAATACATCTGGTGGATTCTTTTGTCATTTTCGCAAACTGTTGGAGAAGGTCTGTTATAAACATAATAATCATAAAGGTGTACAATGTAGGTTTCCGTGTTTAACCAAGTTTTCTTAATGACAAAGTACGCTTCTTTCTTTTCTTTTTAGATACGAATATTTTATCCAAGCATAGTATTAACGTTACATCATAACTGTGATTGTGTAGATGTGTTTCCTCAGAAAAATAATGCTTAAAAAAAGTAGTAAGAAACAAGTAATTATTTTACATTGAAGGACATGTAAAATAAAAGAAAATATCGCGTAAAGGCTTACTCTTGTTAAAACTGATTTTGTAGCACCACAATTTGAATTATATCTAGGCAAAATTAAGGTTTAAAACGTATGAAAAATATTTCTACATTCTTAGGATTGGCAGCACTACCTACAAGCCAAGTTGTGCACATGCGTGACTAGGTTCAAGGATGTGTCAAATAATGAAATGCTACCTCCGATTCGATTTTGTTCCGATATCTAATTCAATTATGTGTTATTTTGCCATTAACTTCTGCAGTCACGACTTGAAACTATGTAAATTGGTTGACTTTGACGTTTAATTGGGGGTGTCAGGTGATTTTCTTTTGTATTATTTATAAATAATAATTGCCGCAACTGGCTGTAATTTTAAAATATGCGTACTAACTATTGTTATTGTGGTAGAGCCTTGATTGAATTATTGATAGAGAATACGTTTAATATTACGCCTGCGGGTATCTAGATAATTTGATCTGACAAAATACGTTTCGCCCCTTGATTTAATAGAAAAATACAAATTGTGACGTCACTTATTTATTAGCCAATTTCTTTAACTAATTAATGATAACTTATTTATTTCTTCAAAATCGATGGAGCATTACTACCGTTTTTCTTGGGATGCTTACATCCAGCAGTGGATTGTCATTGATTAAAATGATGATTATCTTTTTAAGGAGACCTCTGCCTTGGAAATAATTGTCAAAATAATGATGAAACTTCTGCCTTGGAAATTAATTAGTGTCAATTACCTACTATATCCAAATTGTCTCTACAAAAAGATAACAAGTATGAAAGTCGGTAAACTTAGTCCAAAACAATGGTCTTCCGGGAAAGTTCACGGCAGTGGTGATTGACAGTTTGACACTGGTTCAAGGGTGCTCGATCGGAACTCGAACCCGCGCCCGTGAAATCCGCGAAAATGCCCATTGTTTACCGAATAAACGTGTCACAGTTCATTTGGCACTAATTCTAGGCCGGAGAATGTTTACAGTTAGATAGATATTTTTAGATCGTAAGTAAATTATCGTTTAGTTCCTGTAATAATTTTAAAATTAATTAAAGAGTAAGAAACACAACAACACAAGTAGCCTAGATTACTCCTATATATTTTCACCATGGGTAATTTAAGATGCGAATTATAGCAATTTACCAATAAAAGAACAACCCAACTACATAGATATTTATTTAAAAAAAAACTCGTCAGAAATCTTAAATGGATATGATTCTAAATACTTAATTCACGTTAGTAATTTGAAAATAAATCCTACTTCCTACTAATATTATAAATGCGAAAGTTTGGATGTCATGATGTCTGGATGTTTGGATGTCTGGATGTTTGTTACTCTTTCACGAAAAACTACTGAACGGATTTTGTTGAAACTTTACAGTATTACTGTTTATAACCCAGATTTACATATAGGCTATAATTTATGACGATCTGTGACATACCAAATTTCACGCGGGTGAAACCGCGGGCAAAAGCTAGTTACGAAATAAGTAAGTAAGTACGTAGACATTCACATAAATAAGTAATCTTCTAGTTTATTACCATCCACAACACTAGAGAAAGGGGTTTCCAGCAATTATTTAGAGTTTACATAATCCAA